GCCTGCCACAGAAATATTTCCTGCTGCTCCCACGGGCCTGGGGATGCTCTATAAGCACTACCAGAGAAAACACCTCGTTTTCCCCCAGAACAATGTCTAAGCCCGCATAAACCTCAGCGGAGAGCAGCTCTCCCTCTCCAGGTGCTTGATCCGTGCCTAAAGTCACCCACCCTGACGCCCGGAGCGACCCGTCGGTTGTCTGACATTAGCAGTGAGGCACCTGCTGCTCCCACGGGCCTGGGGATGCTCTATAAGCACTACCAGAGAAAACACCTCGTTTTCCCCCAGAACAATGTCTAAGCCCGCATAAACCTCAGCGGAGAGCAGCTCTCCCTCTCCAGGTGCTTGATCCGTGCCTAAAGTCACCCACCCTGACGCCCGGAGCGACCCGTCGGTTGTCTGACATTAGCAGTGAGGCATCCCCCGAGCATCACCCTGCACCGCTCCAGCCTGGGCTTCATCTCTCCCACCTCGCCCAGCCCGCGGGGTCCGTGCACCACTGGCTTGGTCACTCAATTCAGGTTTTTTCAGCAATCGAGGCTCTTTGGGTAGTTTCAAAGCCAGCCAAAGCAGCAGTGTGATGAAACCTGTGCCTTGTGTGACGGCGGGCAGGTGGCGGGGAGCAGCGTGACCCGTGATACCCCCCGGGGAACATGACAAAGGGCAGCTATTGGACACCAGAACGAAAATGGGGAAGATCAGATCAGCGTATAAATCGCTCCCGTTGCCATGGCTCCCCCAACGCTTCCCAGGCGCCCGTTGGAGAGAGATGTTTTGCACACAAAAGTCTCGTTGGAAATGTCAAAGAACATCTTGCCATGTAACAGCTCTGTGCGGAGCCTTGAGCGGTTTCCCAGTAGGGAACAGGAGAGGGAAGCAGATGGGTTGTGGTTTCTGGGGGATGAGCAAAGGCAAGGCGGCAGTGGAGAGGGTGATGCTTAACATCGGGGCTCCACGGGCCGCCCCAGGTTTGGGAGATAGAACCATAGGATCACAGACTGGTTTGGGTTGGAAGGGACATTAAAGACCATCTAGTCCAACCCCCCTGCCATGGGCTGGGACATCTGCAACCAGATCAGGTTGCCCAGAGCCCCGTCCAACCTGGCCTTGAATGTTACCAGGGATGGGGCATCTCCCACCTCCCTGGGCAACCTGTGCCAGTGTCTCACCACCCTCAGCATAAAACATTTCTTCCTTATATCTAGTCTGATAGGGTCAGCCACAGGAAATGTCTTTGTGCCCGCAGAGCTCGGCCTTTCCAGCCAAACCTGGTGGCTTCGTCAACGTACCACCCCCCAAGGCTTTCCATCCATTTGCCTTTTCTTTTTTGTCATACATAGGGAAACTGAGTCACGGCAGGGGTGGGATCACTGGGGGAGGTGGCAGAGAATCCTCTGCAGGGTCGGTTCCCTGGCACATGCCTCTGCGAGGCACGTCTGTAACTCCTGATGGGAAAAGATGGAGCTACATTGTCCCCGTCCAGAACTGGACAAGGACACAGGTTGGCTGCAGATGAATGTCTTACCCTTTGGGGTGGTTAGAAGGAGTTTCTCCCTGCAGGTGACCAGTGAATGTGATACCTGGAGGTGCTCCATAAGCATTTAATTGGACTCCACAGAAACTGTTTTTCAAAGTACAAGCTGAATAGGGAATGAGATTTTTTTTTTTTTGTTATTTTGAAGGCCTCCTGTTGAATTTTCAAGCATATATATATATATAACACACACACAATCTGTAGAAACTCCAGAGGAGGTTTTGCAACACTTCTGCCATGCAGGGGGTCTGCTCTGTAGATGGTGAGGAACACAGCTCCAAACCATTTCATTGCTGCTTAAAAGCAAGAGAAACCCCTCCTTTGCAGTGCAAAACATGGAAATATTTTTGCTTGCCTCATCTATAAATACTCATGTGGCAGAATTTTGAACATCTTCTAAAAATAAAGGAAAAAAAAGCGAGCCCTTTACAACTGAAAAATCAAGAAATTTGAATTTGGATGTATTGCCCAAAATTGAGGCTTCTACAAGAAAGGGCAAAGCCAAAAGTGATGCGTTTCACACTTCGGCTCTGAGCTGGGCTTACTGGTGGCTGGGAGCGTTACTGGTTGTGCTCAACAGGCATGGAGAGACCCAAGCAGGCTGTTGACGTTCGCTGGTCCGACAGCTCGTCAGCTTTGCAGCGCGGGGAGGACTTTTGGTTGACCTACTTTTGTTTGGTTGTTATTTCCCACCCCACAGCCTCTTGCAAAAATAGTTTCTGCTGCTTTCGACACAATGCCCAGTCTAATTGGAAAGTCTGAATCAGATGCGTGTTGCTTTTGCAGTCTCAGGAGGACTCCTGCTTCACACGGCGCTTTAGAGGACGGTCGTTTTGCCAGCGTTATGAATACGCATGTCCCGAAGCGATCCCCTGGCTGAGAAGCTCAGCAAACCTCCACCCTTCTGAGAGGGAGAAAATACCCTTGTTTTGTAACTCTGGCACAAACAGAGTTGGAGCTTTTTGTTTTAGAGCCCTTGAGCTGGTGGCCCGAAAGCCCAAATCACCCCCTTCAGCCTTCAGAGGTACTGGAAGAGGCAGATGTGTGTCCTTGATGCTCCTGAAAGTCTGTTTGCTTCTAAAGGTGCCTCAGTTGTAGGTGGCAGAGTGAGGAGGAATTCCTGAGCCCCCACCTCTAATGGTTGTTCCTCCAGCGAGCTGTTGGCAAGGTTCATACTGGAGGCCAGGAGACCTGACCCTCTCTTGCACCCTGGCTGTTGAGCTGCCCTGCCTTTGCTGGCAGAGACAGGTTCAAGGCAACTGTTGCCCGTCCGTTTGTGGTTTCTGTCCGCAGGCTCTTCCCGTGGAAGTAGATGAGGAAGGTTTTGTGGTTCACAGTCAGCACTGCTGTTTGGTTCCTCTGGATGGGCTAGTGTAACAGTCCAGGGATCAGGGTGTGCAGGACTACCTGCTGTTACCAGCGTCCCGCAGGACCTCTTCGTGAGACCATGTCCCTCAGCTTGAAAGGAGGTGGTGGAAAACCTGATGGATCTTGCACCTACCTCGGAGGAGGGATGGTTTCATGGTCAATGGAAACCAGCCCAGGTTGTGCTGGGACTTGCTGTCCATCACATCCAAGCATTGACCTCCCCTGTGCTGCCTCTCATCCTCCTGATGACCCAGATGATGACGCTAATCATCTGCTGACTTTCTCATGGTAGCTTGCATGTTGGGTCAGATCTTCAGCCTGGCTCACTCTGTGCCTTCCTCCCTTCTGCTGCACCGTGCCACTTGCAGGGAGATGGGGAACCGAGATGCTCCCCGTGATGTTAAAGGGAGAAATCTCAACTATAACCTGCAGTAGGATGAAGTAATTTGTCCTAGCGACTGGTGAGATGGCCCAGCTGGCTGAGAGCATCCCTTCTGCCTGCTTTCCTTCTGGGAAGCCAGTGGGAAGCCATGTGGACAAACCTGCTTTGATAGTTGCAGAATAATGCATGGTGTGGTAATTTCAGGTGGCTCCATGATGGGGGATTGAGGAACCAGTCCATCCTCAAGTGCTGCTCAGCCATGACCATGTTTTTGTTTGCTGTTCCTTGCTGTTTGGGTGGCAGAGGGCTGGGAAGCACTGCCGACCCGGGAGGATGGACCATAATGTCTGACCACCGGGTCCTGCCCCGGGGAGCATCAGACCCAAACCAGCCTTGCAGCATCAGCTAAACTGATAGTGAGTAACCTGCTCTGCACTGGCCCTCCGTGTTAATTTGGGTCTTTTCTTCTCCACAGGTATCCCATGAGTTTGCCATTAACTTCAATCCCACGAACCCATTCTGTTCAGGTAAGCGTCCACCACGTCTTTAAGACTCCTTAGATGCCTTCAGTGTCTTCTGTCCTTCCCTCTGCATTTCTCCAATAAGATCTCGGGGATTTTTCAAGGTCTGTTCAGAGACAGACATTAATGGCACAGTAGAGCACATGCTAAGGGTGCACTCAGAGGAAAGCAGAGAAAATTTGGGGGTGTGTAGGAAGGCCCAGGGTAAGATACAACTGGATTCAGCATAAAATCCGCCTTCGCTCTGCTGTCTGGTGTGTCCTACCAGCCGTCTGCTCCTCCAGCAAGCCTGCAAGAAACACCAGGCCTGTTTAGCAGATGGGGAATTCAGGCTTCATGCTTCATTTAGCAACTGAGAGCGGCTCAAACCCTAAGTGTCAGGGGCTACCATGGACTCCAAAAGTCGTCTGGTTCAACCTCTGCCTTCCCCCAGCAAAACAAGGGCTTGGGCAGCCTCCAATCCTCCCTCGCTGGTTCATGAAATCTGGCTGTGAACATCTGCTTTTCTGCTGCCTTGGCGTCGTTCAGTCCCTCTCTGGTAGTTGTAAAGCTTCATTGGACCTGATTTATTGCTGGTGGTTTGGGGTGCAGAAGCCACTGTCCTACAACTCTTATCAGTGACAGGTCCTTCCCAAAGAACTGATTATCGGCTAACTGTGGAATTGGTCATTTTTTGATTACACACCCATGCATCCTTTCAGGAGAGCAGCCATCTACCTTGTCCTGGTGCGGCAGAAGCAGAAGGGTCTCCGATGACCTGCAGGTCCCCAACAATCTGCGCATGGATGAAACTTGTGGAGCTGGATGGAGTTTGGGGGGGGGGGAATAGTTCTCACTTCAGCTCGCATGACAGTGTTAGGTAATGATGCTTAATTGGACTTGTGGCGGGCCTGAGCTGTGGCGCATTGTAATGCCTGGCTTCTCTGCTTTCCCTGAAGGTGTCGAGGGCATTGTCCAAGCGTACTCGGCCTGCCTGCCCCACATCCGCTTCTACGGACCCACCAACTTCTCCCCCATCATCAACCACGTGGCCCGCTTCGCGGCTCAGGCCATTCAACAGGAGGCTGCATCCGTAAGTCCGTAAGATCCCACGATGCGATGGCGATGGCGATGACGATGACTTTGGGCAGGGGAAGGCAGGACCTGAGCTCGGTTTCATGCCTTTCCCCTTGCTGTGGGCAGGGAGGCAGGGTCCTCCCCGCCAGGACCATCCCTGGGGTCCCTGCAGCGGTGGGGTCTCAGTTGGCTGTCATCACGTCAGACGGAGAATGTAGAGCAGGTGCTTCTTAGGAAGAAAAAAATAACTCAAAAACTTGACAACAGCCAACAAAACTGCAGCTGCGGAAAATCAGAAATTATTGGGGAGAGATCTGAGACGAGGGGGGGAGATGCCATGACGGTGGGTGTCCCTTGGATTTATACAAATGTCTTGAGCACTGTCTGAAGTGTTGGTCCCTTATCTCAAAGAGGATCCAGCGGCCCTGGGAATGATAGCGAGAGAGCTGGCCAAGACACTCAGCGGCATGGAGTAGCTCCGGTACAAGAAGCAGTAAGGCTGGCACCTTTTTTTTCCTAAAACATCCCCTGCTGAGCTCCAAGGGGCTTTGCTCTGAGCAGGCAACCTCTGTCCTTATGGGTAAGCGGGGAATGATAGTCCTGAGGAGTGTGGTCCTTGCTTTCAAAACAGCCTCCTGCTCCTGCAGGTCTGTCCTGGGGCAGGACGGGCCGGGTGGTCCCAGGGGCACTGGGACGGTGATGCTGCTGCCCTGGCGCTGGTGGGAAATGTGAGCAACAGGGAGAGAGGTTGATCATGACTTCAAACCTTTGGCTTATTTCCGTTTGACACGCACCAAACAGCTGGAGGAAACATCTCCCTCTGCTCCATGAAGATCTTCTGGGGAGATCTGGGGGTGCATATCCAGCCCTGCAAACAGCAGAAGGAGAGAGCAAGCCCGTACTGTGGCGTAAAGTATGATGTTTATGATGTGCCTGATGGCCAAATCTGGACCTTTTGCCAGGACAAGACCTTTCTGCTATTCCCCTTTGAATAGTTTATTTATATGTGAGGGGGAATTGCAGAAAACCATGGGATGGCTCGGTTTGATCGTTGCTTTTCATGCCATGTGGACAAGCAGCAGACTCAGAGCCAGGCTTGGGGTTCCCGTGCGGCCGCTCCAGCTGCTCGGCAGTCCTGGAAGTCCCCGTTAGTTAGTCCATCAGACCATTCACATCCATATGTCAAAAAGCTGCTCGTTAGTGCAGAGGCCTCGTACAACCACGCTGGGTTGTGCCGGGCCACGAGGGAGCCGGTGCCAGCGTGGTTTTGGAGGGCGAGGCTGGGGATTGAAGGGATGCTTGTGTGTGCCAGGAGCTGCAGCCGTGGGTCCAGCTGTGGTGGGTTGACCCTGGCTGAG